ACCGTTGACTAGCAAAATTATGAATGTTAAAAGTTTAAGTTTCGCACGAAGTTGGGGTCAAAAAGAAGAACTAACCTCTCGCATTCACAATCTCATTAAGGTCAGTGTTTATTAAAGATAAATATTACGTAATTGTAGTAGTTATAGCTACTGAGTAGTTAGGAAGTGGCATTCGGTAGCAGACATTCTGAACCAAAAGATGTTTAGAATGCAAGATTACATGAGTTCACATATTTTTTCTTTCAAAGCAGAAATATTTTATAATGATTCGAGTAGAGTGTAAGTTTTGACTGAAGGTTCAGGAACCAGAACTACAACCCGATTAAAAAATAGTTAATGTTAAGGCTACTTCTTCCCTTCTCTCTCCATTAAGTTTGTCGAAACTTGGAATAAGGGATGATTGTCGTACTTCTTTTGAACACATTTCAAAATAGAAACTGCAATGTTTGTTGTCTGAGGAAAACCATAGTATATTAATCAGTAGATCCAAACGAAGCTACATCTAGCTTAATAATTTATTATTGTAGGTAGCTCTCGCCTACAAGGAAATACTAATCGAAAAAAGAATCATTGAAGTAGGAAAGCTGGGTGCTTGTCAGCTACTAATATTATTCGACAGAGCACATCAGGTCACATATGTTTTAATGATTTTTTCTAGTACTTTTCATTTATAAGAGAATCCTTATCAGAATGGATTCAATGCAAGAGCGAAAATAAATCTGTGTTTGTAACTATTATCGAAAAAAAACAGTATTATCCATTATTTTTTAATAACTCCAGAACGATAGCAGATAGCAAGATTGGGTTTCCACCATTTTGTAGAGAGGACTTTACTCTATCGACTGATATATGGGGACTTGGAAAATCCGGACTTTCTGATGGTGTACCTTAAGGGTGAAAAATATGAGGTTGCTGCTACTTGACTTCCTATAGCGACTTCTATGTTTAAAATATGCAAAAGGTAGCCTAGGATACCCTGTACAAAATCGCGCAAGACCTAGCTGGCTAGCCTGTTCGATTCAGGAACTATAAGCATTTTCCAGAAAGTCCCGATTTCGACCACTTGATCTTGGATCACCCTAAAATGAATCGGGATAGGGGTAATTTGTCCCGCTGAGCCGAATGGTGATGTTTATTTGTAGTTTCAAATTGATCTAAAGACACGACATCCAGATTTTCAAATTCCAACAGCCTGCCACTATGTTATGTATACAGTGGATATTCCGAAAATCTGGATATCGTGACTTCAGATCAATTTGAAACTACAAATAAACATCAGCACTCTGCTCAGCGTGACCAATTACCTCTATGTTGATTTAGTTTAGAGTGACCCAAGATCAAGTGGCCAAAATCGGAACTCTCGGGAAAAATCCTTATAGTTCCTGAATCGAACAAGCTAGCGCTAGGCCTTGCGCCATTTTGTACAGGGCATCCTAGGCTACCTTTTGCATATTTTAAACATAGAAGTCGCTATAGGAAGTCAAGCAGCCACAACCTCATATTTTTTCATCTGTATCTGAATGTCCACATTTTTCAAGTCTACATACATGAGTTGATAGAGTAAAGTCCTCTCTACATAATGGTGGAAACCCAATCTCGCTATCTCTTATCGTTTTCGAGTTATTCAAAAAATAGTGCGGAACATAGTTTTATTTTTTCGATAATAGAGCTTCTCTTATGTTAAATGCAAGCATTCACTCTCTATTTAAAATACAGAGTTCAATTTTTTGTATTAAAGTTAGCGTGGTGTAATGAATAACATGCAGGGCTGTCAACGTAATGTTTCCTGTTGAAATTCAGAGAGAACCTTAAAATTTGCGTTATTTTTTCAAGAAGACCTACAGAACGCTTGACAATATATTGAAAGTGCTGTCGCACAACTGTTACTTATCTTAATCAGACCGAACCCAGTTTTAGAGACCCTTCACTTCAGAAAAATCTTCTAAGTAGGTTAGTGTCTTTTTCCTTAATATCTTTATAAAGTTTAAGTAATGTCTGAAAATTTTACACGTTGTCTGGTTAGATTATTCGTTCTCAACCTTGCCGATTATATTTCAGGAGGGCTACACAGACGGATTATCAATATTTAAAGAGTTTATTCAAAATGCTGATGATGCTTGAGCAAATGTAGTCAAATTCCTTTATGATAACCGATCTAATTCACAATCAAATACACATTTATTGGATCCGTGTTTGACTTCTTTTCAAGGCCGAGCTCTTTGGTTATATAATGATGCTGTATTTACTGAAAATGATTTTCAAAATTTGATCAAACTTGGTGCAGGAACAAAAGAAAATGATTTAGATAAAATTGGAAAATTCGGACTTGGATTCAATTCAGTCTACAATGTAACTGATGTGCCAAGTTTAATCAGTCAGCAAACATTGATTATGCTAGATCCACATTGCAAATATCTAGGAAAATATGGTAACGGTGGCATACGTCTTGATTTCACACAATCTCAACGAACGATGCTACACGGTTACAAACATCAATTTGAACCATATAATGGCATTTTCGATTGCAATATTTTTGAACTTATTGATGAACCATTTAGTGGAACACTATTTCGACTTCCATTACGCACAATTCAACAGGCTGAAACAAGCTTACTAAGTAACACAATTTATGAACATCATGCTATACTTGACTTATTAGAAATGTTAGTTGAACGAGGGAGTCAATTATTGTTGTATACACAAAATGTGTGTAAAATCGAACTGTATGAACTCTTGTCACAAAAAGAAAAACCGAAACTGATGTGTACATTTCGAAAAGAGCCTGTTCATTATCTTCAACAGCATAACCTTTTTGAGTAAGTACTTGTTGAAAAGAAAAAAAGTCTTTATTTTAATATCGTAAGACTTGAGGAATTTGTGATTTATTCAAGAAAAACTGTTTGATGATAAAAAACGTGTCAAAGCTAAGTATATAGCGATATCGAGAATATCGTCAAAAAATTCTCGACTTTTACATTTCCATTTTTTTTGCTGGATTTCTTCGATATTCTCGACTTCGAGAATATCGTCTCGCTATATGTTTAGTCAAAGCATCAACTAAGCAGAGTACTACAATTCCACTCAAAAAATGTCACCCTTTCGACGCTTTTCGTAGTGTACAATGAAATGTTCCCTCTGAATTGTCTTTGCAAAGCATCTAGAAAACGCTCTGATAAAACTTGCAATTATACTTATCATTGAAGACGCCTTCCTTTAGCTTGTCATTTTCGAAATTTGTCTGGAATGTTTCTGGGAACTTCTTTTCTCATACGCTAAAATCGTTCTATCTCTTCGCCAAAACATTTTATTTCGTATGCGCTTTTGTACCTGTGGATTATATATTATCAAAGTGTAATGCCGAAATTATCCTGTGTTAGGTTTTCTAGAGTTTTATTGAAAAGTAACGTCTAACTAAGAGTGTCTGATCAGCGTGTCCTATTAGAATATGTTTGCACTATTAAATAAAAAAAATTAATTCTTTCTGATAAACGTATAAAAAAAGATAGGAGTGCCATGTCCTATGCTACTACTGTATCGTTTTAAAGTAGAACATGGCTTCTTAAGTATTTTGTGCGGACTAATTGAGCTGTGTCTATTGATGGATATGCATCAAACGAGCATCATCAACAGCTAATGGAAATCAGTCGAAAATCATCCAAAATCACTTGATTTTCGATGATTCTCAGTGTTCCTCTAGGATTTCCAATGATTCCAGTAATTTCATTTGCTTTTCATTTGCTGAAAATCGATGAAAATCAGCGAAAATCGAAAAAATCAAAACATTAGCTTTTCCTCCTTGGTATGCAGACAAGATCTGAATGAAGTCATGCATGAAGAGTTTGCATGCACTACACTTCGTGCTTTACCTTCTCTTTGGACTAAAACACTGAAATATTATCCTTTTTAGTGGTGAGCTCGATAAATTTGTTGCTCAAAGTAGTATTCTGAGTGCATCGGCTCGTTATTCG